CCCAAGGTTGCCCCTTGCAGACATGATCGCGGCGTGAACAAAAAGCAGGACGGGAGGTTTTTGGCCGTTTTCGGCCCCTGGGAGCCCTCGCCGGGCCCCGGGACCGTCAGAAAACCACCCAGGACGGTAAAGGCGGTCCCGGGGAAAGGGCCGGGACTTCCAGGGGCCGCGCATTGAACAAATCAGGATGTCGTCGCATGTCTGGGCTTGCATCCTTGCCTCTTGGTCCCGTCCCCCGTCCCCAAGCAGTTTCGCCCGCCGCACGCCGCTGCAAGAGTCCCCAGACTCGGGCACCCGAGGGGCTTGCTTCCCTACCGCGCTCTCTTGTTTGGTGCGCTTTGGCAACGCACCCAGGACCTCCGACGTCGTCCACGGACGGGATTCTCATCCCGAGTCACTTTCTGGCGGCCCCAGGGTCCAGCGAGAGCCTTCGGATGCCGACAACGGCCCATATCGGAGGCCAAGAAATTAACACCAACGCCAATATCGGCAGTGTGCCTCCATCGAGGGTGCATGATCCCGATCTCGGTGATGGTGATAACATTCGGGCTCCCTGGGCGTCAGAAGATTACCACCAACACCAACATCTAGGACCCCCTCGCCCCGGTTGAGGCAGACCCCTTATTTCTGGTGTTGATGCTTGTTTTTTGGTGCTGGCTTTGGGTCTTTTTGCTCTAACGGCAACCTTTCGTCGTGCGGCCCACGGCGCGAGGAGGCCAGGGCGTCTGGGCCAGCCCCGGGCCCGAGCTTCGCCCCAGCACGCCGAGGGGGGGCGACGGGAGGCGGGGCGGTTGTTTGTCGGAAGGCGGCGCGGCTTCGGAGAAGGCTTCTAGGCATAGGTCGGGCACGTCCCCCTACAGGCGGGTTTTGGACGAGAGATAAAACACACATATCTATATATATGTTTATGTATATTTATATGCATACATACATACATACATGCATACACATCAAAACATGCACCAACATGGTCAAACATAGTCAAACAACATCGTCCCCTGACTATTGGTTTGGCTAGTTTCGATTATTCCTCCTGTAGAGGGACATGTCCGACCTAAGTTTAGGATTACGATGTTCCGATAGACAATAAACTGACGTGCGAAACTATCCCTGAGATGTGGTCCTTGCGAACAATGAGGACAACATCATTCTAGGACATTTCTCGGAAGGCTGGCGAGTTTCTGACCAAGGCATCCTCTGGTAGGATGTTGATCAATCCGCGGCCTCAGGGCTCCCAGCCCCTTCCCCAGGGGTAGCTTTGCGGCCCGGGTCATCTTGTTGTCATCCCTGGGCCCGGTATATCAGGCCCGTGAGAGGCCGAAATCCAGGGGAATTGCCCAGACTGCAGATATCGTGTCGTCGGATGTCTGGGGAGCTCTGTGGGTAGGATGCCACATGCAAACCCTACCCCACCACCCCACGATTTCCAAGGGAGGAGGTGGGGGAAGGTTCGCCTGTGGCCTACTACTGAGAACCCAGATATCCAATGTTTTTTTCAAACGCGTGGTCCTCGGAAGTCTCGACCATTCCTGGGGAAGGGCGTCTCATCCCCATTCCTCTTTTGACGGTCCCGGGGGCCTGCGAGGGCCCTTAGATCGACTGGGCGTAAGAGTGACCTTTCGCCGGAGTGACCTTTAGTGCGGGCACTGATGGGCCCCCGGATGGCCGAACGCGAAGCGGTAGCAGTGGCTAGCGCACCTAGGTTTGGCCTCCCCGCGGCCCCCCAAAAGCCGCGCACCAAAGGTCACTCTTACCCAGGGTCACTCTTACGTGTAGCCGATTAGAGGCCGAAAACAGCCAAAAACCTCCGCCTGCACGTTTGCAACACGTTGGATTTCTGAGAAGGCCGCCTTCCCAGAGATCCAAGGTGCGCATTGAACAAAAAAAGAAATCAAGACGGAGGTTGTTCTCGGCCTCTACAGAGAGGCCCCCGCCGGGCCCCCAGGACCGTGAAACAACGACTCTGGACGAAACTCTTGTCCCCAGGAGGGGTTCGAGGTTCTAAGGATCGGGCGGGGCTGGGACAGGGATACATCTCTTCCGGAGCGCTGTGGGACGCTCTCGAGCGTTCCGGAACGCTTCGAGAAGGCCGCGGCGCCCGAGGCAGCCTCCAGAGCCGCCAGGTCTCAGAGATTTTCGATCGATCCTCACCCGATCTAATCCTCGGCCTGGACTCGTCCTAGGGGATGCCACATTGAAGAACTCGAGACATTGGGCCTCTGGGCTGCCCCCCTTGGCGCGCATTGCAGGCAAGACTTGTGTCCATATCCACTGCAGGTTGGAGTGTCATGCTCTCTCCCCTAGAAGCCCGAGGCGCACTGGGTGTGGACAAAGACTGGCCCCTACAGTCCAGAGGCTGCCGCTTTCCCTGGCCGTCCGTCGTCCACAAAAAAACAACTTCGGCCTCCAAGGGTTTTGCGTCCAGCACCACTCGTCCCTACCACGCGTTCTGTCCCCAGACATGCGACGACATCCTGATTTGTTCAATGCGCGGCCCCTGGAAGTCCCGGCCCTTTCCCCGGGACCGCCTTTACCGTCCTGGGTGGTTTTCTGACGGTCCCGGGGCCCGGCGAGGGCTCCCAGGGGCCGAAAACGGCCAAAAACCTCCCGTCCTGCTTTTTGTTCACGCCGCGATCATGTCTGCAAGGGGCAACCTTGGGGAAGCGGCTGCACGCAAGAGAGCAGCCATACAGGCAAGAGAGCAGCCCTTGGACTGCGCGGCCTGCCGATCGTCGCACGCGGCTGCGGCCAGCGGCGGCCTCTGCGTAGTCTTGGCGCTCTGGCCCCCCGCTGCGCCCCGTGAAAGCCGCGCGCGCGCGCCTGACCCCCGACGCCACGTGTCCTCACAGCGTGGACCCCCAGGTGTGTCAGATGCTCCTGCATCCAGGACAGATGAGCTCCACACTGCACGTCCTCAACTGCCGTGCGATTCCAAGAGTCGCCGGGCAAACCGGGAACACCCCGCGAGCCGACCTGCGACAGGCAAGCTCATGAAGTGGACCGTAGCCTGAGAGAGAGAGAGAGAGCGAATGCACTAAACAGTAACGAATCGAATCAGTTCAATTGCGACCTCACCGTGCCCGTGAGGTGGACCCCGAGGTCCTGCCTCAGCGGGATAGGCCCAGGTTTACCGACCAGTTGCCTGGGACCGGCGGCTGTTTTCGTACCGCAGGGGTTTCCCAGCAGTGGCCCGCAGAGGCCAGAGCTCCGCCGACCCTGTCGGCGTGCGTGAGGGGCTTGTCCGTTCGAGCCGTCCTCTTCGTCGTTCGTTCGTCGTCGTCTCTGTCGTCCTTTCCCTTTGTGGGATAGGCCCGTGAGGCGGACCCCGAAGTTCTGCCGTGCACTCCAGACTGCCTCCTCACGCTGCAGGCCCGTCCCTCGCACACGCTTTTGAAGGGGCCCTGGGACACACAAGTAAATACACACAAATATAATTTGATTCCCGATATTCCTTCATATTTTCTGGGTTTTTGTCTTCCCCCCCACTTCCCATATTTTGCCACATGTTCTGGGGGATCGACGATGAATTGTGTCCGTGTGTTTTTCCCCTCCGGATCCTCACGCTGCAGGCCCGTCCTTCGCACACGCTCTGGCTGCACGCGCGCTGCCCGCGTTCCGGGCTGCCCCCCCCCCCCGGCGCGCGCACTGCGGGCCCGCACCGGGGCCGGGCGGCGGCGTGCCCCCCGGGCTGCCGGCCCTCGCCCATCGGCGCGCCGCCCTCGGTCGTGGTGGGCCGAGTATCCACCACCACCGGCATGGGCAGGAGAGGGAGAAGAAGGAGGAGGAGGGGGAGGAGGGGAAGGAGGAGGAGGAGTAGGAGGAGGAGGAGGAGGAGGAGGAGGAGGCTCGAGGAGGAGGAGGAGGAGCAGGAGGAGGAAGAGGAGGCTCGAGGAGGAGGAGGAGCAGGAGGACCTCCCCTATCCTCCCTTCTCCCCCGTCCTACCCCCGTGGTAGTGGTGGTAGAAGAGTAGCCCATCAGATTGGGGCCCCCAGCGGCGGCGCGGGCGCCGAGGACGGGCGGGGGGCGCGACACAGTCAAGCAGTTGCGAAGCGTCCTGGCTCGCTTGTAGGCCCACCGAGGAACGTTCTAATAACCTTTTTGTGGTCTGCACGAAATGTTATGAGAGCATTTCTGGCTGAGACTGTCTTGTTTTAGCACATCGGGCTTATGCTCTAAGAACATTGTTTTTGCTTTTCGAAAAATCTTGGGTTCTAAGAAAATGTCGGGTCAGGCCTACCGGAATGCCAGGACGGTTGGCCCCTGCTCAAGGAAAAGAGCGCGCGGGCGCGGAGATCATAACAGTCGTGCTCGCCGCGCACGAACAAAAGTTGCAGCATCTCTCGCAGCCCCGTGTGCTGGAGGGGCGGCGGCTTCCTGTCTGGAAGGATGCTCTTGCCCAGAGGCCCTCCTCGACCGTTGTCGCCATCCGCGGGCGACACGGGTGCGGAATGGCCATTTTTTCCAGCGGGGCTGCCATTGGACCAGTCCTTGGCGGGTGGCGTGAAACAGGGAACGCGGGCGCGGGGGCGCGGAGATCATCATCGTCACCATGATGATGATGCTGATGATGACGATGATGATGATGATGGTGGTGATGATGATGATGATGATGATGATGATGATGATGATGATGCTGATGCTGATGATGATGATGATGATGATGCTGATGGTGATGATGATGATGATGATGATGCTGATGATGATGATGATGATGATGGTGATGATGACATCTGATGATGATGCTGAGGATGATGATGATGATGAGGATGATGATGCTGGTGATGATGATGAAGAAGATGATGATGAAGAAAAAGAATATGAAGATGACCATCATCAACAACATAGCCATTTGCTCAAGCTGCGGCTTGGTCTTGGCTTTCAGGCGCTGCTGCGCCCGTCTGCTCGTTCGCTGCTGCCGATGGTCGTCGCTGCCTGGCTCGGGTGGCTACGCCAGCACATCTCTGCCGGCGTGCCTGGGTTTCTTCACATCGGATCGGCGCTAGACCCCGCGAAGTGCAAGGTAAAGGTGCTTATCAACCCCCATGGTGCGGCCCTGACCCCGGTTGCCCAAGCGCTCCTTCTCGGCACTTTGGACACCATGGAGGGTCTGATCGCGGATAGAGTTGTCGTTGATCGTGGGCATGAGTACTCGAGTGGCGCGGTCGAGGGGTCGTTCTGGATTTCGGATGGTGTTCGCCCGCGTCCCCACCGTGACGACGACGATGACGATGTCGGTGGCGGTAGTGGTGATGCGCCCGATGGCGGAGGTGGTGGCCGCTGCCCTCGCTCTGGCGATCGTCCTGATCCTTGGCATGGCCCTGGAGGGGCTGACCCCTGGGCTGCGGCTGCTGCTGGCCTGAAGGAGCCTGCCTATAAGAAGCCTCGACAGCAAGCGCCTGCTGGCGTTGGTGCTCGTGCAGGTGCTTCTGATACTGGTGCGCCTGGGCGACAACATCGCCAAGGTGCTCGCGCCGCTCGTGACGCTGAGCCTGGACATCCACTAGGCCGCACAGCCGGGCTCTCTTCTTCTTATTTTTCTTCGGCAAACTCCCCTGCCCGAGGTCTGCCTGAGATTCTGCCCCGCCTTCCTGATGCTCCTGCTGCTCGTGCTGCCGATCGTGCTCGCGTTCTTCTTCCGGCCCTCAGGCAGGACCTGTTGGACGCCCAGCGCGCTGTCGAACATAATCGGGATCTGCTTTCTCAACTGGACTGCCAGGTGAAGGTGCTACCAGATGATGCTGAGAGGGCAGACGGGGCCAGGCAGTGGGCAGTTGGCGTCCGGAAGAAACTGCTCGAGGATCTGAGTGCCAGTGAGGCCCGAATTGAATCTCTGTCGTGCCAGTTGTTCACTTGATCTCTTTTTGTCTTTGCCCTCTTCCTCCTCCTCCTCCTCCTCGTTCGCCTGTCAATTTCGACCTGTTGCGTGCCTGCGTAGCATACTTGTTAATCCGGTGCAGAACTCGCGCAGTAGAGTGCACGATCGTCATCATCAACAACATAATGTCTCTTTTTCGCCGGACGTTGCCATCACTGTCAAGCAGTTGCTCGAGATCGCCGTTCCGCAGTGGAAGGACTTCGACGTCCGCGCGGTCGCCCCCTACCTGGGTTTTCAAATGGGGCCCAATGCCGACCGCGAGCTGTGGGGAGGGCCTCCATCAAGAAGTGGCTCTCGCGAGCCAACACAATCGCCGACGGGCGCGCCAACACAACGCTTACGATCCACAGCTACAACACTCGAGCCATCCCCGTCTTGGGCTACGTCGCGCAGTTCTGCACCCCGCCCGCCCGCATGCTGGGCCATGAGACCGCGCTGGCTAACAGGATGTGGCATCTTCCTCCGAATCCCATTACGGCGAAGGCCGCGGCGTCGGCCAGCACCATCGGCGTGCTGGAGGTCACGTCAGCGACGATTTCGTGCTTCGCCGCGCTCGTGCGATCTGCTGTCGCCACGCACGACTGGAGCACGCCCCTGGGCTTCATCATCCACTCCGCCATGCGCACATCGCCCGCGGATGGACGCAGCAGTCTGCCGCCGTGGTCCGACCACTGGCTCTCGCCTGCGATCTGCTGGACTCTTGGCCGTATCGCCGGTGGACTGCCCCTCGAGTGCGGCGCCAAGCTCCAGGACGCCTTGCACGCTGCCGCCCGCGCGGCGGGACAGTCACTCGCGGAACTATTGCACCCCATTTCCCGGACAGCGGCGCCCAAGCCACGCTACCAGAAGCGTGCGTTCGACTCCATCAAGCGCGACATCATTGGCAACGCCTTCCAAGACTTTCTCGTGGCGCGGCTGATCAAGCACTTCCCGTTGATGCGCCGGGGATGCGCTGGGCCGTGGAGGCGGTGGACTACAACTCGGTGTTCGCGCTCCTCAAGAGAACCCCCAAAGGGGTCGTGTCCGGGGTGGTCAAAACGTGGGTGGGAGGATGGGCCACGAGCGCAAGGATGCACGAGGAGTTGACGCATTCATGCCTGTGCGGCTGCCAGGCTTGTGATCATTTGCCTTATTATGTGATATGCCCGAAGGTTTGGCGGTTGGTGTACGATGTTTCTAACCAACCCCTGCCCTGCGACCGGCTGGCCCGATTGGGCCTGACAGCATCGTCGGTCGACGACTTCACCCCGACGTTTTTGGCTTTCGAGGTCTATCACAAAGTCAAGCACTGTCACCTTCATGAAGTCATTGCCCTCACTCGTGGAATGCCTCCGCACGATCAGCGACTGGGCGATCTTCTTCGGCTTGTTGCCGACGCTGCTCTGCGATTTCTCCAAAGAGCCGGCCGCGCCATTCATCGTTCTCTCCCCTGTCTCCATCATGTGTCGGACGTTCCCGCCGGGCGGCTAGCACCGTCTTTGTAGAGCAGCGCATTGCCGGCCGCAGTTTGGACCGGTTTCCGCGTTACCGGCATCATCATTTCCATCATCATCACAATCATTATCAGTATCAGCATCAGCATCATCATCATCATCATCATCATCATCATCATCAGCATCCTCATCATCACCACCGCCAAACTTGCCAAGAGGGGGGTGATGACTATAGGGGGGGATATCATGGCGTGGGCCAAGATATTTCCTCAGATTTCATGGCGCCTCTTCTTACTTTGTTACGTCCCTGGCCCGCCCTGGGCCGCGCACGTGCCGACGGCCATGATTTGCGCCCCCCCCTCTTTGGACGCCCCCGTATTGGCCAGCCTCGAGAGCGGGGGGCGGAGGGCGGGGGGTCGGGACGATCGGAACGAGGAGGGAAGTAATGGGCACCCCGAGATCCAACGTGTTGACAAGAATCCAGACGCAGTTTTTTCGCAAGTTTCGGCCTCCGAGGGGCCCCCGCCGGGCCCCAGGACCGTCAAAAAAGGGCTCATGATGAGAAGCCGGTTCTGGGAAATGGGTCGAGACTTCTGGGGACCGCGTATGGAACAAATCACGGCACCGGATCTCTGGGTACGATGCCCAACAGCATTTCCTGTTCATTTTGAACGGGCTTCGCTGTCCGCGCCGCCGCGGACGTTCTTCATGGAAGACAAGAAGCTACCTGCCCAACAGCGGCCCTTGTCGGTTTTGGGCAACACGTGTTGTTGGGCATGGTAACCGTTTTTCCGTACCCAGTTCTGGCGCCCACAGGGGGGGATGGAGGGCATGCGGAGGGGGGGAGATCTTGCTGCTGTTCCTCCTCGCTTCTCCGTCTCCCTCCAGGGAGGGAGGGCTCGCAGGCGATTTGTCTCCCCCAACCTCCGGCTTTTCTCGACGAAACGTGAGAAGGCTCAGAAAAGGGGGGAAACTTGGGGATACACCCCAAGGGGGTTAGTCGGACGAACCCCTATCGAGGATAGATGCCCCCCCCGTCGCGTATCCCAGGGTTGGACCCCACATTTTTGGTCCACAGCCTGGGATAGGTCGACATATCCCCTGTAGGGCGGAAGAGGGGAGGGGGAGGGAGGGAGGCGGGAGCAGGTGGAGCCCGTGTGCCTGCGATTCGCGGTACCGCCCGTGCCGTCTAGGAACTTGCGATTCCGACACATTCCCAGACGGCGACCAGCCCCTTTTCCCCCCCCGCGATTCGCGATTCGCGAATTCGCGATTCGCGAATCGCGACGAGCCCCTTTTGCCCACCAGATTGCGATTCGCGAATCGCGACGCGACTGGCCGACCGGCCCCTTTTCCCCCCCCCCGCCCCCGGGTCGCGCCCGTGATCGCAAGGGGATGAAACATTGACTTCCCAGGTGGGAGGGCAGGGGGTGGTCGGACGGGGCTAGGACGAGGATACATCCGTTCCCGAGCGTTTCGGGAGCGCTATCAGAGCGTTCCTGAACGCCTCTGAGAAGGCCGCGACGCCCGGCACATCCTCCAGAGCCGCCGGATCGCACCGATGCTGGATTATATCCTCGCCCGTGGTTGCCTTCGTCCTGGCTTCGTCTTAGGTGGGGCGCTGGCGCAGATTGCACTACGGCCGAACCGAGGTATAAGATCGCGGTCGGTTCGGGGAGTGTGTCGTTGTTCGTGCTTGTTGGATGTTCATGTGCATCCTGGGAGAGAGCACCCTCGAGTGTTCTTTAGTTTGGCTGGCGGAGGGTCTCGTGTTTTTGAAGGATGCCTTTCTGCCCTAGGTCCTAGGCCCGGCCTTTCCCTCTCCGAACCTCTTCGGTCGACTAAACGTAAGAGAGACCCTTCGCCGGAATGACCTTTGGATGCGGGCTCAAACGGGTCCCCCCGATTCCCGAGCGCGATGCGACAGTGACTGCTCGCGTGCTTGGATTTGGCCACCTTGCGGTCCCTTAGTCCGCGCACTATGGTTTTCAGGAGGGGAGAAAAATACACAGACACGATCAATCGTCGCTCCCCCCAGGAGAGTATGGGAAAACGTGGGACGTGGGGGGGAAGGGATGACGACCCCCACCTATGAAATATGGAAAGATCAGGGGAATCATGGGATTTGTGTCTATCTATGTGTGTGTCCCAGGGCTCGTGATCGTTTTTGTTACTCATTATTTTGCCGATCGGCGCGGGCCCCCCCTTCCCCCCCATGGAGTAGTTCTTGACTGTTTCTTGGCGCCCGCCTCGATCGGGTGGAGTCTCCCCCATAATGACCACACTCTTGCAAACAGTCGCACTGAGCAGTGGTCCGGAGCGGAGCCAGACACCCCCCCCTCCCCCCTCCTTTCGCCCACCGTCGAAACGCCAAGTAAGAAAACGTTCACTACCCCCCCGACGTCTCCTGGGGTGTGTTCTGACCAGGATTTCGAGGCGGATCCAGCGATGGCGACGAGGGCCTCCCAGGAGGCCCAAGAAGGGGAGAGCCAGGGAATGGCAGCGGTATGGGTACCTTCTATAATCCCCCCCCCCCTTCCGTCCAACGTCGAAACGCTGCCCAGTGCCGCTCTCTGCGTGCCGCCGCTCCGGGGGGCGGGTGGCTGCTCCTGCGGCCCCCGGCCTCCGCGCCCGGCGTCCTCGGGGGGGGGGGCCAGCGGCGGCCGGTCAGAGCCGCCGCTCCGCGCGGCTCCTCCTCGGGGCGCCCACGCAGGTCTAGGCTTGAAACGGGCAAGTGCCTGTACAGGAGGAGGAGGAGGAGGAGGAGGAGGAGGAGGAGGAGGAGGAGGAGGAGGAGGAGGAGGAGCGCGCAGAGCGAGGAGAACGACGACGAGGATGAGGGACGAGCCCCACCTTCACCCCTTCCCGCGGACGGACCGCGTGACGCCGTCCGTCCGCGGGAGGTAGATCAACAATAGTCAAAAATAGTCAGGGGGCGATTTCTTGTTTTTTGTTCGACTATGTTTGAACATGTTCTGACCATGGTTTATTTTTCGTTCCAAATCCGCCTGTAGGAGCGCATGGCCGACCTAAGTCTAGGACATCTGGGCATGTTCGAAGCCCTGGGGGCGCTGTCTAATGTTTTCAAGTTCGACTTTTTGTGATGTGTTCGGCTTTGGGGTCAACTGTTTTTGCCGCGTTGGTTGGCCGAGAGCCGGAACGGGCTCGGCGGGCTGCTGATGTCTTGTTCTGTTTTGGGCTGCTGCTTCTTTTTCCGTTGTGGCTCGCCGAACGCCGAAGACCTCAAACATGTGAAGTGGAACACGGTGGAACATGCCTCGTCGCGTTCAACACCAATTCAAGTATGTCCTCTGGGTGAAAAGGAACTGAAAGCTGTCGGCAGTCTGTAAGACGATTTTTTCCGCGCGGCGCTGGACCCCCTCCCCCATAGCGTGCGGAGCCGGACGCGCCGCCATTTAGTGTTATTTGTTGATTGTTTTGCTGATCGGCGCGGGACCGCGCACCCCCCCACCTCCCCTCCCCCCCCGTGGAGTCTATCTTGGCTGTTTTTGGCGCCCATTTCAAGCAGCTGGAGCCTTCCCGAGAGGACGCACGGTGCCACACGGTCGCATTAGGCAGAGGTCTGGAGCCAGACCCCCCCCCTCACCCCCCCTTCCGCCCGATGTCGACACGCCGAATAAGATGCACGTTCACTTGATCTGTTTCACGTAGCGGGGATGTCAGTCAGGGTACAGTCGGACCGGGGTACGAGGTCGAGGTCGGCTCGGGGAGGGTGCCCCAATGTCCATCCATCGTGCTTGTGGAATGCTCCTGTGCACCCTGGGATGCTCCTGTGCACCCTGGGATGCTCCTGTGCACCCCGTGGGAGCCGGCCCGGCCACGGATGGAGTCGGGCACGTCCCCCGACAGGAGGAATATTCAAGGATAGTCCGAGCATTTTCTCTTTGGGTGGAGGGCTAGGGGTGGAGTCTGAAGTGCCGCGTCGATTGCTTTTTTGAGGTTTGAGTCTGCAAGAGGTGGGCCACAAGACGGATTGAATTTCGAGGTGAACACGTCGGGCCACGGGTGAAGCCGGGCATGTCCCTCTACAGAGGAGGAATATTTTGTGTGCGTCAGGGTGGCAGAGATCGCCTCTCTCTTTAGGATTCCCTTCGGGGGAGATTGCACTCTGGTGGGTGCGCGTGCGTAGTGTCGGTGCCGAGTGTCGGCGCCGAGAGTCGGTGCCGAGTGTCGGTGCCGAGTGTCGGTGCCGAGTGTCGGTGCCGATCGTCGTTGACGAGCCGAGTGTCGGCGCCGATCACTGTTGACGCGGGGGCTCTCTAAAGAGTTGCCCCACCCAGACACACACACATTCAAGAATGGTCAATACATAGTCTGTGGGGATGATTTTGAGACTATGTTTGAATCTGTTTGAGTAGTCTTGGGCTAGTTTGTCACCTGTCTCCCACGATCCGCCCGTAGGAGGACATGCCCGACCTAAGGCCAGGGGCACTTCGGGCACTTCTGGGAACGCCCGATCCTGGGCTGGGAGGAGTTCCCTCCCCCGCTTCTTCGTTTCTCCGAGGAGGTTCTCTGAGAAGAGGGCGAGGTATCGATCCCGCTTCTCGTCCTTGAGAGCCAGCGTTAAGTCGGGCATGTCCTCCTACAGGTAGATTTTGAACGAAAAGTCAAAAGCAGTCAAACATGTTCAAGAATCGTCAAAACGTACTAGGGAAATCACCGCTACCTACGTCCCAGCCCGCGACGCACCTCCCGAAGAGAGAGCTCTTATGCAGGAACTGGTTGATTTGGAATTTGGTCCTCCCCTGATTTCTGACGGCGACGACAGCAACCCGCCGCTCACGGACCGATGGGACTACTGGCACCTACGCGCCGAACAGGCGATGCTAGTGGCAATCGACCGTGGCTGCAGGCAGCTCGACCAACTGGCCGAACGGCCCAAGGGCTCCAAGCCCACGACTCGACGCACCTCGCACTCACCGGCACACCGACTGGACCAGTCGATAGCCCTCCGTCGCCTGCTACGCCTCCACAGGGCTCTCGCAGAACACCTGCGCCAGGGAGGCCGAAGCGACGACTACCTCACGCTGAGGCACCACCGTTCGGTAGCCCAAGCGGCCCTCGACGGCATCCTCAACGTGCAAGCCTGCGGCATCCCATGCTACTCCGACGCCCTACACTGGATCTCCCAGGCGACCTCGGCGGAGCAAGCCCGTCTCCAGGACGGGGCTAACCGCCAATGGCGACAGAGATTCGCCACTTGGAGCAGCGAATTCTGGTCCTATACGATTCCCATGTTCAAGGCCACGCCGCCGACGCCCGCCATGAACGTCCACGACATGCGCCAGCAATGGCATGACCAATGGTGCCCCGACAACTACGACGGCGACGCGCACCACCAACACTGGAAGACCTATGCCGCGGACACCGTCTTCCCGAAATCCGACAAGGCCTCCGACTGGACACCCTCCTGGGACCATTTCCGTGAAGCCATCCAACGCTCCAAGGGTTGCCCTGGGCTTGACGGCTGGACCTGTAAGGAGCTCCGCGCTCTGGCCCACTGGTTCCCGGCCATCGTCCGCGAGCTGTTCGACCTCTGGACTGCCACGTCCACAGCAGCTGTCCAAGCCAAGGGCCACCTCCCGCCCGACCTCCTCTCCAGGGTCTTCCCCTTGAGGGTAGCAGGGGTGCCCAAGGGGGAAAGCGACACCCGGCCGATCTCGGTCGGCTCGGTACTCCTCAGAGTCTGGCTCAGGTCCCTGTCCCAGGCCGTGCCTGAGCCGCCAGACAATCAGCACGCCAACCGCTCTGGTGCCAGCGTCACCCACGCCATAGCCGCCTGGCTATCCGACTGCGCAGACTCTTCCGACGGAGTGGAAATGGACCTGTCACGGTCCTTCGACAACATCGGTCACGAGCTAGCCCAAGAAAGCCTCATCCAGGGCGGCCTGCCAGACCTCGTGGTCTACACCTGCCGCGCTGCGTGGTCGGGCCCCCGCCACTGCTCCCTCATGGGCATGACGGCGCCACCGATCCACCCACAGCGGGGCCTCCCGCAAGGGGACGCCATGGCCCAGCCACGATGGTGGCTTGCCTCGCCCCTTGGCAGCCCCTATCCTCTGGCCACGCCTTCATGGACAATCGCGCGATTGTCTCCACCTCGCCGGGCGCGCTGGCCACCGACATTGCAGATACTCAGAGCTTCGACCGACGAGTGGGCTTTGTGGAAAACATCGGCAAACGACAACACTGGTCCGACCAAGACGTCGTTCCACGACGCATCGAGCACCTCGGAGTGCTCGCAACACCGACCGACTCCAGCTTCGGCATCATTCCACGCCAAGGGTGGGCAAAGCTGGAGACCTCCATCGCCGTGCTGGCCTCCATCCCCGGCAGCAACCAGGTTCGCCTCAAGCTCGCCTTCGCCTACATCCGTCCTTTGTGGCTCTGGGCGAGCCCACTGGTCATCCCGCCGCCCATCAAGTACGCAAGGACCCTGGCGCGAGCCGTCTGGCACACTGGTTGCACCTGGTGATACCATGGGAGGGTGTGGGCCCAAAATATATTACTTCATCCAGTGCATTCTGCTGCTATATTCGCTTTCAAGAGCATTGTAGATCCTAAGCTGAAATGGTCTGTGATTTTGGAGCATTCTATCGCCACTCATGCAACTGCGTTGGGTCTCACCTACCGACGTTTCCCTCCTACGCAAGGAGCTCGATTGGAGGTCAATCCCACCGACGATCACCGTGTGCTGAAAGCGGTGGAGGAGCACGTGGACGACTACTGGCGCTTCTGGTCGGGGTCCTCCGGTGCTCTGCACGTCCTGCGAGTTATCGCACGCATCCGTTTCCTACAAGCAGTGGTTCCTACGCGGCACGACGCAGAGGAAATCTCCGACGTCGACGTCGAGATCTGCTCGGCCAAGGCCTATACGCGTTGGGTGGGTACACTCAGCGACACCGACAAGACGCTTCTCTCGATCTTTCGCTCTGGTGCAGTCACCAGCGAGACTCGGAGACGAACCGGGCTCGCATGCAAACACTGCGGTGCAACCACCTCATCGTTCCGCCATGTCTGTGCTGAGTGCCCGAGGTGGCACCATGCTTCCCGACAGTTTCTGGACATCTGCTCGTAGGTGTACAGCGAAGTCGGGATGGGGTACTTACGCTCTTGCTGATACCCCAGAGGAGCGGAATCGAATGCTTCTGGCCTCTTGCCCTTTAGGCATTACGATATTGGCGAGTGGAAGGGAAGACATGCTTACTGATGCTGCCCCGCTACCTTCTTCTAGAAGACGGCGTTTTGGCAACAGGAGTGTAGACTAACATTTTAAGTTTTGATCAATCCCACACGCCAGGGTGTTCCATTTCAACTTCTCCCTCTCTCTCTCGTACTAGGGAAATCGTCCCCGGACCATTCGTGGACTATTTTTGATTCTTCCTCCTGCAGAGGGACACGCCTGACTTCAAGCCAGCGTCGCCGCCGCTGGGTTCGCCTCGGAATGCTGGTCAGAGCGTGCCCCCAGGCGAGGCCCGCGGAGGCCCGCGGAGCGCGCGAGCTGTCCAACACGACGCTCCAGAATCGATCCGCGACCGACGTCCCCCAGAGCACGAGGCAGCCTGCCACCCTGCAGGTGCCGCGCCAGACTCTCCCATCTCCCGGCGGCCCCACGGGTCCCAGACATGATCGTGTCGTGCAAAAAAAATCAGGACGGGAGGTTTTGGGCCAATTTTGGCCTCGGGGGGCCCTCGCAGGGCCTCGGGACCGTCTAAAAACGACTCAGGAGGAGAAACCGGTCTCGGGGACAAGGTCGGGACTTCCAGGGGCCCCGTATTGAAAAAATCCGGACGTCGCATGTATGGGCCGAACTCTCCCCTTCCCCGGCGGCCCCAGAGGTTGCACGCTGGCACTCGAGAGCACATTGCGAGGCGCCCCAGAGGCCCAAACAGCCAACAGAACCCCTGCCGTCTTGGTGATCGTTGTCTTATTCATGAATTTGCCGATGGGCGCGGGCCCTCGCACTTCCCCTCCCCCCCCCCTGGAGTAGATCTTGGCGGTTTTTGGCGCCTGCGTCAAGTAGGTGGAGTCTCCCGGATAGGACGCACTGTGCCAAACGGTCGCATTAGGCAGAGGTCTGGAGCCAGACCCCCCCCTCGCCCCCTTTCGCCCAATGTCGAAACGCCGAATCAGAAAACGTTCGCTTGATCTGTTTCACGTCGCGGGGATGTCCGGGTACAGTCGGACCGAGGTATGAGATCGAGGTCGGTTCGGGGAGGGTGCCCCAAGGTCTTTCGTGCTTGTGGGGTGCTCCTGTGCACCCTGGGGAGGGCATCCTTGGGTGTTCTGTTTGATTTGGCCCACGGAGGGCCCCATGTGCGTGCAGGATGTTCGTCTGGCCTAAGGCCGACTGTAGTCGGACCCCACGTCGCTGTCGCTTCTGGCCCCAGCGCCGAATGCGACGTCGCCCTCCCCCCCCCTGGGGGCCGCGGCCTCTGGGGGAGGTGGATCAAACCAGGCTATCTCTCTACACGTCGGTGGTTGACAGTAGGTTTTTTTTGGAGTCCCAGATCCCGCTCTGCTTCTATAACGCCTTCCTGCTTCGAGAATCGATCTGCTCCTGCTGTGCTGTGGTACTCTCTGGGAGGGCCTGGGCCCAATGTGCTTGATGCACCTTCCTGCTTCATCCTTTTTTGCCGACTTCTTCCGACCGACGTGTAGGGCAAGTACACAGTAAACGCGTAACAACAAATACTATGAAACAATCAATACGACAGAATGAACCAGCACAGCACAAGATGAGCAATACAAGACACATAAGACACCACCTCAACAACAAAACACTCCGTAGCCATTTGTAGCTCGAGAGGAGCGAGCGGCCGCCGAGCCGCGGCCGCGCAGAGGCCGAGCTGGCACAGGTCCCCGCATGCGCGCGGTGCAGGCGGCCAAGGAGGAGGCGGAGGCAGCAGGCGCAGCGCCCGACCCGCCATTCACGCGGGAGGAGTTCGACAAGCTCCTGGCCGAGAACAAGACGCTGCGGGCCGAGAATGCCAAGCTGAAGGAGTCCAAGACGGTCGATGGCGGCAAGGGTGTGCCCGCCGTGGGGTTAGGCGACGAGCTCCAAGCATTGCCCACGGAAAAGTACGAGGGTTTTTTTGATCCTGGCGACAAGGGCCGAGTATCTTCGGAACCGTATATCGGTGACGATGGCAAGCAGAGGTTCAAGGTCACGTGGTACCGCACTGGCAAGACTTCGGTCCGTGTCGCAAGTACTTGGCCGAAGGGTTTCAAGATAATTGGGAAGGCGGGCCAGCCGGCTTTCGGCGACGAGCTAATGGTGCTGCCGCTGGAGAAGTTTGAGGGCTACTTTGAGCCCGGCGACAAGGGTCGGGTCTCCTCCGAGCCTTTCGTTGACGAGGCGGACGGCAAGATCAAATTCAAGGTCACGTGGTACCGAACCGGCAAGACCTCGCAGAGGGTGGCAGACGGATGGATGTCTGGCTTCCGGCTGGTTGGCAAGGCGCGCCAGCCTGAGAAGGGCGACGAGCTGCAGGCCCTGCCCCTCGAGAAGTTCGATGGCTTCTTCGAGCCTGGAGACAAGGGTAAGGTCTCTTCCGATCACTTCATTGACGCGAAAGACGGCAAGCTCAAGTTCAAGGTCACGTGGTACCGCACCGGCAAGACCTCGACCCGTGTTGCGGAGGGCTGGATGAGAGGCTTCAGGTTTGCCGATGAGAGTGATACGGAGCACGTCAACGCCGAGAACAAGAAACACATGGAGGACGCCGTAAAGGACGTCACGAATCAGCCGGCCGGCAAGCCGATCGAGCTCATCAGCGGTCAGCCCAAGGCGGCGGCCATGGGGCTGTACCACTTTATGAGGGTCAGCGATCCTTTCGCGGAGGATAGCGCGAACAAGGTCGAGAAGGAGATCACGCAATTCGTGCAGAAGCTTAGGGAGTACGCGATGATATTGGGCTACCACAACGACGTGCCTGAGCAGCGAGAGCACATTGAGCACATCTACGGGAAGGAAAGCGTCGCCGAGGCCAAGGATGAGATCGACTACTTCAGGAAGGTGGCGCGTCTCCCCGACGACTCGACCGCTTTGGCCGTCGCGTCGCGCGTTGAGGAAGAGACCCTCGGGAATATCAAGTACATCTTATACGAGAAGGCCAGTGAGGTGTTCGTTGCGGGCCCAGACGGCATACGCGACAAGGGCCGTGGCCCAGTAGGAATCCAGGATTTCATGAAGAACAAGACTGTTGCAGACGCAGAGCTGACATTGGCCCATGTCGTTGCGCTGCGGTTCTACACGACACCAGGGTACAAGTATCTGAACTCACCGTTTCGGAACCAGGACCGGTACTATCACAAAAACAAGCAGCACCCCATGCCCATCACAATGGCGTACATCTCGGAGGGCATCAAGAAGCTGCGCTCCGCCTACGCGGTCAAGGTCGAGGAGGGCCAGGCAAGCACGCACATGGTTCTCTGGCGGGGCCTCAGGAACATGTACATGCCGGACGACTTCCTCCTGAACCGGAAGGGCGGTACCGAGCTGGCGCCCATGTCCACCACGACCGATATTCAGGTGGCGGCGCGCTACGCGTGCAGCGGCGAGTCGGTCCTGCTGAAGATCTCCCTGGACAACTTCATGCAGTACGGGGCGGAGCTCGGCTGGCTCTCGGCCTTCCCGGGCGAGGTGGAGGTGCTCTACCCGCCCCTGACCTACTTGCAGCCCACGGGCAAGCCGCCCCAGGTGGTGGAGCTGAGCACCGGCGTCAAGTTCACTGTGCACGAGGTAACGCCAACCATCCCATGAGTGCCAGCGTGTGTGCTCGTGAGTGTTCCGGGCTGTTGTGCGGCTCGCTCCAACATGTGCCTCTAGTGATGCATACGTGCATGTATTTCAGATGCGTCCTGTTTACACCCAACTTCGTGACGCTTCGCAGTGCAGTGATCATTGCATTCCCGAGCGGAGGCAGGTTTTCTGCATGACCGAGTCGAGGAGCGATGGGGCGCTCAGGCACGGCAGCTTGCGCTAGGGGCGTGCATAACAGCCCCGTGCCCGCAGAGCCTCGATCATTGGCGCAGGGCAAGCGCATCGGACTTTGCCGATCGCACGCGTTTTACCAATCTGTTACGTTTCATTTCTGGCCCCCCTCGGCGTGAAGACCATGCCAGGGCGTCGTGCCAGCAGTACTTGTCTCACGGCTTGTTGTGTGGTACTGTTTTGATGCTCCTGGCAGTTGGGGCTTGTTTGCACCGCAGCGCCAGGCACGTCACCAGGATCTGATGATCCCTGCTCACCAAGGAATCCGATTCGAGTTTGGATTAGTTTTGTCTGCTCGATCTGTTTTCCAATGGAATTGCGCCTTCTGACCAAACTGTACGCCGTCAGGCTTAAGCATGCCAGCGACACAGTTTGTGCCTCACGCAAGAAAAAAAAACACCTCAACAACAAAACACACACACACAGAAGAAACCGCGCGGGGGGTGGCTCCCTCCGGGGGCGCAGCAAGCATGCAGCCCCCCCCACCCCCACCCAGCCCCACGGGGGCCCATGGGTCGCGCACGTGCTTCCGGCCATAATTTGCGGACCCCACATCTGGCTTCGTCGTTAATTGAGCCAGGTGCGCTCTGAGTGCGCTATGACTGCGTGGGGCCTTCAATCTGCTGGTGCTGCGCTGTGCTTCTCAATGCTGCGCTGCGGGGGCCCATGAGCTCCGAGGCGATGCTCTGTCCGTGCGTGCCCTCCCAAACTGCGCGGGTGGCCCCTGGGCGTCTCGACCCGGTCGCTTCGCGGGGGCCCGACTTCCAGCCCGAGCCGTGTTCTGACGGCCCCCCCGGGGCCTGGCGAGGGCGTCTGGAGGCCGAACGCGGCCAAACAGCGTCCTCTGGATGTTTCTCCTCCTCCTCCTCCTCCTCCTCCTCCTCCTCCTCCTCCGCATCCTCCTCCTCTGCTTTTCGTTTCCCTCCTGATCCCTCCCTCCTTCCCTCCCTCCCTCCTCTTCCTCTGGATGCTTCTCCTCCTCCTCCTTCTCCTCCTCCTCCTCCTCCTCCTCCTCCTCTTTTTCGTTTCCCTCCTCCTCCTCCTCCTCCTCCCTCCCTCCCTCCTCCTCCTCCCTCCTCCCTTTCCTCTGGATGCTTCTCCTCCTCCTCCTCCTCCTCCTCCTCCTCCTCCTCGTCCTCCTCCTTTGCTTTTCGTTTCCCTTCTCCCCGCTCCTCCTCATCCTCCCCCTCCTCCACCTCAGCTGCTGGTCCTCCTCCTCCTCCTCCTCCTCCTCCTCCTCCTCTTCCTCCTCCTCCTCCTCCTCCTCCTCCTTCTGCTCCTCTTTTTGCCCCCTGGCGGAGGTCTCGAGAGGCCCCGGGAAGTCCGCGGAAGTATCCAGGGGTCCCCAGGGCGGTCCCTTGCAATAGGAGGTTTCGGGATGTCCCCTCGGAGGCTCCCCAGGAGGCCTCAGGGAGGTCGGGCGGCTGTTTCCTTTATGCTCAAGTCGGGCCTGTTCCTCTGCAGGAGGCATATTCAAAAATTGTGAAAGCAGAGTCTGGGGACGAATTTCGTATCATGTTGTGACTATATATGAATCTGTTTAGACTATGCCAATTTTTGTCGCCCCAAATCCGTCTGTAGGGGGACATGCCCGACCTAACTTGGGGCTCAGGCAAGGTGGCTCGCATGCGTGGATCGCAGCAGGGGGGGAGGGGGGGAGGCAAGCTAGGTGCGCTCGCGTCATATCTGACGTCCTACCCCTCCCTCCCATCCCTTACCATGGCGCTGATTTTCTCTATCCGCGGACGCGTGTCGTAGCGGACCTGTGGCTCCGCGCGCGCGTGCGTAGTGGGTGGTGGTGCGCGTGCGTGCGTGCGTGTGTGCGTGGTTGTGGTTGTGGTGATGGTGGTGGTGGTGGTGGTGGTGGTGGTGGTGGTGGTGGTGGTGTGTGTGTGTGTGCGTGTGTGCGCGTGTGCTGTGGCATGGCACGGGAAATGAGGCCAGCGTTGCAGCGGGAGCACGATTCGGAACGAGCGGGGCCCGAAAATGAGGCCGGCGCCTCAGCGAGAGCCGACCCAACTCCGGGGAAACCTGTGTGTAAAAAGCAATACGCGGGGGGGGGTCGGACACTTTCAGGCCGTCATCAGGGGAAGAGGGAGAGTAGTATTCAGTAATTGTGGAGGAGATCTGGATTTTCAGAGGAGGAAAAGAAAATTTACTCACACCTCTACCCTCCCCTCGTTTTCCCCTTTTTGGGGCCTCTTGGGCCTCCGTCGCCGCCACCGCTGGATTCACTTCGAAATCCTGGTCAGAACGTACCCGAGGAGAATGCCGGGGAGTAGCGGTATATGTACCTTTTGGTGCCCCCAGTGGCGAGGCCGGAAAGGATATCTGAACTTCACGCAAGCTGGGACTCACTTGTACGTTTTTTTTGGCCCAGCGCTGGGCGAAAGGGCGGCAGCGAGGGGCCAATGCTGTGCAAGCCTGCGTCTGAAGTGAACCGCCCCCTCTCTGGGTGTCCCCGCATGCTCCGTGGATGCCTCCAGAGGCTAAAGCGAGGGTTTTTACAGTCGACGCCCACACTCAGCGGACAAAGAACGGTGCAATCTAAGATCTCCTGCCGCCGGGGGCGCCTGCCCCATGGCGGCTAAAGAGCTCGTACCCCAACGTGCCACCGATACATTCTCCAGCCGCCCTGCGGCAGGCGTCCCTGACGGCGGACAGGTTGAACATGCCACACGCTGCCACACTCCGCCATCCGTCCGCTTGTAGATCCCCCCCATACCCGTGTGGCTCGACGACGGGGGCTGCCGCCCCTCCACCTCGCGCTGTGTGGCACAGACATGCGGCTGTCTGTTTGCGGTGCCTGCGGGTGGAAGTCGCAATCCGCGCTGCACTGTGGCGAAAAAAAGCGACCCCCCTCGCAGCTCATGGGCCGCGACGCTGGCTTCGTGGCCATGAACGCCGCCCTGTCTTCCACCATCGTCGACCTGTGCCTGGTGCCAGAGGTGAAGGCCGCGGGCGCCGGCCGGACCAGCAGGAGGGACGGTCGGTCTTTTCCTCCTTCGCTTCCCTCCTGCCTGCTCCGCCTCATCCTTCTGTCTGCCTCCTCCTCCGCCCCCTCCTCCGCCTCCCTCCTCCTCCTCCGCCACCTCCTCCTCCGCCACCTCCTCCTCCTCCTCCTCCCTGCTCCTCTCTCTCCTACTCCTCCTCCTCCTGCTCCTCCTCCTCCTCCTGCTGCTCCTCCTCCTCCTCCTCCTGTGCACTGCTACGGCGGCTGGGCCGTGCAGCCTGGACGCCCGCCGGCACCGCGCGGTCGTGCGGCGCACTGCCGATGATCCCATGTGGGCTGAGGCATTCCCCCTGTGGAGGAGGAGGAGGAGGAGGAGGAGGAGGAGGAGGAGGAGGAGGAGGAGGAGGAGGAGGTGGAGGAGGAGGAGGAGGAGGAGGAGGAGGAGAAGTAGGAGGAGGAACAGAGGAACAGACCGAGCGCACCCAGGTGCGTTGTTCGGGCGATGCCAAGTGCATTCTAGCCCTGACTATGAGCGGCGCTTGCAGCGGCAGCAGCAGAGGCAGCTGAAATTTCTTCCACGGCCATGCCGTTGGTAGCTGCGCGCAGAAACTTGGTGAGGCCATCTCGCCCAGCGTGGGCGCGCGTGTATTCTCTTTTGTCTATTTTGGCGAGATTCTCTCGCCTTTTCTTGGTGATTCCCGTGCAGGGTGCGGCAAGGTGGCGTGGGTCCTCGGTTGCCGTCTTGCCGCGCCCGCGGCAGAAGTACAGGCGGTACTTCTGCATGAAATGGAGCTTATAGCTGGCGTGCAGCTCGCGCCCAGAAATGGTGATAGTGCCCTGTACCGGCACTATCTGGTCACTGGCTGACGGCAGAGGCGGCTGGTGGGTGCACGGCGTGGCACAGGCCTGGCGTATTTTACATTTGTCTGTGGTGAGCCCGCAGCGGGAGCACAGGTACTTGCCCGCCCTGAGCTCAAAGGCGTGCTGGCTCGATTGCATGGCTAACTGCAGCTTGGTGAGGCGCGGGCCTGTGGCCTGCGAGGGTCGCTCCGCGACCCACGGATCAACTGCAAACGTGTGAGCTAGGGCACGGCGCGCCCTCCTGCGGATGAGGGTGCACTGGGCATCGTGCAGGTCAGTGGGAGGGGCCTGTCCTAGAAGCGCTGCCTCGTAAGACTGTTGGGCCGCTACACCTGCCCATGCATCGGCCGTCGCGTTGCCGATCGTGTGAGAGTATCGCACAGGGTCTGAGGCTAGGCCAGGTGACTCCTCGCTGTGTGAGGGCACCTAGATCGCAGTGAGCTGACTAGTGCGCTATGGCAATTCGTGCCCACATGTCTTGATTTGCGCCATCGCTGGGGCGCAAGTGTCGATTCGTCCGCCATCCGTCGTACAGCGGCAGGTGGTCTGTAATGAAACAGAGGTCGCCCTTCCAGTGTTCTAGGGCGAGCGCGAAAGCTAGCAGCTCTGCACGGGGCACAGTTTGAAAGGGGCCCTCGAGGCCCGACACTATTCCTCCCCAGGGGACCCACTCCCCGAATATGCACTTCATAGCAGCACAGGCGGTCCCCACTCTTCGGCGACGTGGGTCATCACTGTGCTAACCTCCGGAACCGTCTCCGAAGAGTGTGAAGGTGCCGTCGCTACTGACGCAGTCCTCCCAATCCCGCCCAAACCAGCTCCACCCGCCGTCCCCCCCCCAAAGAAGCAAAGAGCGGGTGCGTGTCAGCGCGCACAGGCAGACCACGGAGCCAGTCGGCGGGAGCAGCCTCTGCTCCAGCCAGGGCAGAGGGCAACAGGGCGTCATAATCCGTGTAGTCCTCGTGGTCGCGGTTGCAGGGGCACAGCCAGACCCTGTGCATGAGCGTCTCGTCGGCCTCTCCGCATCTCGGACAGGTTGGAGTAGCGTTGTACCCCGTCTCGATGAGTCGGCTTCTGGTCCATTGCGCCCCCGCGACCACGCACAGGTTGAGGGCCGACTGGTCGTACTGGCCCTTCCTCGTAAACTTCTCCATCTCGTTGGCAACTATGTGGACGTCTGGGCCCCCACGTTGCAATCCTTCTCCATGTGGATGTTTGGCAGCGTCCTTCCAGAGGCTCCTCTCGAGGGGCAGGCAGAATTCTTGGACGAACTCCGCAGGGTCCACGTCGTAGCGCTTGTCCTCCCAGTCGGCTTGTCCACTGCGAGGTAGCTGCCGCTCCTGGGTATGGGTCTCGCCTGCCCAAGGTGGTCGTGACCGCTCCGTTGGCGTCGGGCAGGTCCAGCCAGCGTCCAGGAGGATGGCCTGGATGGCGGAGATGGGGCCCATGACCTTCCTCCACTTCTTGCTGCCGCGCGTGATCGACCTGTTGTAGATCAGCTTCCACGCCTGCGTGACCCGCATGTGGTGTTCTGGGTGCTGCATCCAGAAGTTGAGCCACTCGGCGATCGACTGGCGCCTG